TCCCAGAGGATGCCTTGGTCTAGTCTGGGACGCCTCATCAACCCCTGGCAAGCGCCGGGAGCAGCAGGGCTCTCCCACCTCAAAGCCCACCTTTATCCAGCTTCAGCAGGGCCGGGAGGTGAGACACAGCCCAGCTCAGTGGTTTCACTCTCCTGGGACTCCCCACAACCCAAGCAAGCCCCGAACAACGAGGACATTCCGAATGCCGTGTGCCCATCGGACTGGAACCCACGGCATCACCCGACGGACACGGAGCTGATGGGAACAGATCTCGCAGAGCTGGTGGCGATGGAGCGGTGACCCCAAGCCACAGACAGACCCACCCTGACCATGACTTGGGCTCATTGTGCATCCCGATTCCCCGCTGCAGGAGACACAAATGTGCCTGTAGGTGGCCCAGAAACACTGGCTTATTAAAAAGAAAAAGGGAGGGGGGGAAAAAAAAAAAGAAAAACACAGAATGAATGCAGCGTCTGTCACCCTTTCGCAGAACTGTTATTTTTTTTGTCTGTAGTTGGTGCTTGTTTTCCAAAGATTTACATTTTTATGTGTGTGTCATTCGCTTTTCACGCATTCGGAGACCTCAGAGCTTAGAAATTCAAAACACTTGTCAGTCACGTCAATCCTTTTGGACAAAACGGAGCTGCCACTTGGATGGGTAAAAAAAAAAAACCACAAACCCACAACAAAACAACAAACAAAACGCACTTTTCTCTCAAGCTGTGACTCGGTCACCCCGCTCAATGCAAGCAAGACAATGTTTAGAGAAAGCAAAAAGAAAGATCTGAGTTTTCATACTCATCGGTGGAACTAAATTGATTAGGGTCATTTCCTAGGTAGGTTTGAAATCATCTGCAACAATTTTATTTTTTTTTTTGTTGTTTTGAAAAGAAAAAGGAAAGCGTCCCCTCTGAAAAAAGGGAAAAGTCACTACTGCAAAAACATTAAATCTGCTTGGGTAACTCAGAATATATGTTGGCAAGGCAACATATCTCAGCTTGAACAGTAAACCTGCTATGTCAGAGGCTCTGCCACATATGAAAGAGACTTGGGTTTCAATATATCATGCTGAATTTACTTCTTTTCAGCCTTTCATGGCAAAGCATTTGATGTCTCTCCTTTCACTGCTGCAATCGATAGGGTGACCTTATGTAAAAGTTTCCTGACCTTTGGTGTTGTAGGCATTGTTCTCTTAAAATGTAATTTAACTCTTTTTCTTTAGTCTGGAAATAGCACTGTAGAGACAGCAAACATGAGAGGGGGCTGGGACTTTTCCCCTGTTAACCTAAAGGCAAGAGGCAACATCCATCACCAGAGTTGGCTTCAAACCAGCTGATGTCAAGAAGCATCATCTGCTGAGGGTCTGCTTGGTTTCCCCAGCGCTTCCCCATAAAGATATCGACCTGCCTGGTAAGGTAAATAACTCAAAAAGCCTTACTGTGGTGCTCACTCCAGTGCCATCACACTCAAGATTTTAGGACTGAGCGGCCTCCCTGGATTCACATCACTGGGATGCTGGTATCTCTTTGGCCCTATAAGTTGTAATAACATCTCCAGGATACAGAGTTCTAGCAAAGGCCTTGCACATATTCCACACAACCTCAGAAAAACAAATAGACAGAGACTTACATGAAAAAAAAAAAAAAAAAGAATTGTTTTCAATCAGCAAGTCCCAAAGTGGAAGGAGATGGATTTTTTCTCGTGACAGCGGGTGTTACAAAGCCAGACACATGTTTTAGAGTTACGGCTGGATTATCCACCCCGGGATCTTTGAGAGCCTGGTTTGAATCACATTATAACCCTGTAATGCAAGTCACTTCTGTGAAAGCAAACTCACACTGTTATTGTCTGCTGTGCTGCTGTTATTCCATCCCTCATTTGGGCTGTACATGGGTATTACACCGCATTAGTGATGCAGATGTGCACGTCGCCACTCTCACACCCAGACATTTGCACGGGATTATGGCTAAAATTCCTGATCCTACTTATAAAAAGCCCTACAAATCCAGATAGCTCCTTTTAAATCAGCAGCATTTATCCCACTGTAAATCCGGGGTGTAAGTCAGAGCAGACTCTGGCTCAGATGCCCTTCAGCCACATGGAGCAAACCCTGCACCTCATACACATCAGTTCCCCCCAAAACCCATCCCCATCGCATCATGCCCTGCTCAGCCCACACCCCATCACTTTTAAAGCACCACCAGCTCAACTCTCCTCATCCAGAAACTCTCTGAAACAGAATAAAGAACTGGCTTTGGCAGCGCCGCCGCCGCCCCCACGTGCTTAAATATTGCTCACAGCTGAGTTATTCCGTGCTTCTTAGGAACTTCAGCTGGCTTTTATGCTCAGTGAACTCATGAAAGGCAAGTATCTACAGTCAGCAGCACTGAAACGATGAATTAGCACAAGGAGAAAGGGGCCAGTTGGGCGTTCCTTGCAGTACATTACCTAGATGGTTGCCAGAGGAGCCGATTTAAAGTCACTGCGCTACACCTGAACGTCGTTTATGGCTCATAAAAGGAAATCTGTGTTTAAGTAACAATAAAAGCAGGACTGCACTTCCTGTGCAAGAAAAGAAATAAACCCTTTCTCGCAGGAGCAGATACATTTTTACTTGCTCAGTGCCTGCCTCGGGCTCGTGGAGGTGCTTTCAGCCAGAAAGCCCAAGAGTTGAGCAGGAGGACTTGCTCCGATCTGGGTTATGTTTGATTTTTACTAATTTTCCACCCCAGCCTTAACAGTGAATTTGAGCTCCTGGTAAAGGCAAGACCTGAACCCCCATGTACAACTGTAGCTGTCAGAGGAGCAAAGGAGATCCCCAGGCACAGGCAGCTGCAAAGCCACAGCAGGAAAAGCAGGGACCCTTCGGAACACAGAATCACTGAGGTTGGAAAACACCTCCAAGGTCATCCAGTCCAAGCTGTGCCCCATCCCCACCTTCCAGTGCTCAACAGCCCTTTCCATGAAGAAATTCTTCCTGAATTCTTCCTGAACACCCCAAGTTCTAGGGTTGGATGTTTGGCCAAACAAGGTGACAGCTGCCACCACATCAATCCCTCCAAGTCACAGCCACATCCATCTGCAAACTCCCATTTTCACTCACCTGTTATCCGCTGATAAATTCCCTCGTAGAAGACTCCAAGGGGTTCATATCCACTCTTTTGGTCTCAGTGCAAACACCATCTGGGGTATTGTACCACACAAAGCCATGAGGAAAGCTTCCTAGAACACAGACATGGTTTTTTTCTATTATTCCTTTGCTACAGTTTGATTTTGGGGAATTTTTTGCATGAAAACAAAGTCCTAATGAGAAATACACAACGGTGACAAACTCCATCCTTCTGTCCCCCCCTACACTGTTCTGCACTCCATCCATCTCCCACCCTCTGCCCAACACCACCCTTCTCACAGAGTCACGGCCACCTCAGGGCCCCCCACCAGTGCTGATCCCTGGAGAGGATCTGCAGTTGTTGGTCAAGGTCCTGACCTTTACCTGCTCTCTGTCTGACCCTGCTTTTGCAAAAAGGCACTGTCCCCACCATGATCCACCTCACCAAGAGGCCTGGAGACTTTATCAGTCTGGTCTCTGCAGCAGGTCTGCAGGATCTCCCCAGCACTCAGCACCACCCAGGGTATCTCCAGGGCTGACACTGTGCTGCGAATACCAAACTGCAGAGAGGAAAAAACCATCCACGGGTTTCTGCCAACCCAAACCAGCTACAGCACCACGTGAAAACAACACACTGCCTGAGAGGGAACCCGAACTGAAACAGTTCTGCTGCTCCAAACTGAGCAACACCCCGTGGGTGGATGGGAAGGGGATGCCAGAGCCGTACCCAGCACCTCTGGAGAGGACACAGAGGGATGCTGAGGCATGGGAAGCAATGCCCAGCTAAAGCATTTAAAATTAATTTCTCAGCATTAACCAATTTTATCTGCCAGCATGAGGGAGCACTTCCCTCGCAGTTCAGCAGTGCCTCAAGAAAGGCTCACAGGAAGCTCAAAACATCCACTGCTGTATAAGCATCAGCACAGAAAGATACCTTGGCATTCCATTGTCACAGCTATACCAGCAGCCCTTCTCTGCAACCAGAAATCCTCTCTCTTTTGGGATATCTCCCCATCTGGGGATGGATCAGTGCTTCCTTAGCAACACCAGCATGAGGAGGGGGCAGCAGATTTGGCAGCGCTGGCAAACACCTGTTTTTTTTACAGGCTGACCCTTGAGGAGGCAGTGACAGAACACGGAGAAAGACACAAAAACACAGTCACAACATTTTGGCAGCTGGGATCACCAAGAGATGAGGGGCATGCTTGGATTTAACGGGGATGTAAGCACAGCCCTAACATCCAGAGCTGTAAAACACACACACCAGTGATGGCTGGGAGACATCACCGAGCCGACATTAAATACCTTGTCCTGAGATGGCCACGACTCAAGTGCTTTTCTGGCTCAAAGTTCCGCTTCACGGGTCCCACAGCGGCTGCAATCCTGCCCATGCAAACCATAAAGGGAAGAGGAGATAAAAAGGGATTTAGTGCTGTCAGGACCACTAACCCCCCGCCCCACCCAGTTCCATCACAAGCACAACCCACGGAGGACTGAACCGGGATTAGTCCAAATATCCGCTCCATCTGCACGCTTCCACAGTTTTCCTCCACGTGTTTGTTTCTAAGCTGCAAAAACACAGCTTTTCATCACTCCTAACAGTTTTCACCTTACAAATCCATGAGTTTTACCTTTCCCAGCAGCAAAGCTCTCCACAGATCTGCCCCTCCCACCCCTTTCCCTGCTCACCACACACCAGTGCAGTCTCACACTCCTCCATCAGTGGTTTCTGGGAACTGCCAACAAACACCAGGAAAAAAACCAACTGACTCATCTGCTCCTGCACCAAAGGACAGAGGGTGGCCTTGGGACTTTTTCTTTTTTGCCTTTTTTTTTTTTCCTGAGGAGGAGGAGCATGGCAAGTTCAAAGCACTGGCAGGCATAGATTTTTTTTTTCTTTTTGCAGATCTTTATTTTACAAAAATAACTTACAAATAGAGACAACTCTCAGCAGTAACATCATTCATTCTGTGCAGAAGGACACAGCTTGGTGAAGCAGGGGCACAGGAGTTAATGACTCCGACAATACTGTTAATTTTAACATGATGGCAGCTATATTACACTACATACATTTCATGCTCCAGACATGTGGGTATGACACCACATAAAGCTATGGTCGATGAAGTGTGTCAGCCAGGGAGGATGCACCTAAGAGACCATTTCCACTCTAGTTATCAGCATCCTCTCGAAACCAAATGGCAATCTAACACTCAGACTACAGCACTCTGGATACACTCATCAGCAATATACTTCAAATACATGATAAAAATATATTTAACTTTCAAATACAATTGTATAAGGTACACCAAGAGCCAGAAAATAAAGTCTCGAGCTTTTAAATACAACACACTATATATAAAAACATACACAAGGAGACAAGAGGGAATCTACAGGTGGAAGGAAAAGCTTATCCTGGAAATGTGTGTTATTTGTGGTACACAATGGCTTTGTCTGCTAGGAAGTCATTTCCATTTGCATAGTGTTGTTGAGAAGTCCAGACTGGGCTAGGAGGAGAAAAGGTTTTTAACTGTGGTACCACTTCCACTTTGCAGCTGATTCTACTCTTAAATTACACTTTGCTCTCTCTTTTGTAGGCTGGAATTCACGCCCCGTTCATAACAAGCACGTTGAAAGGGAGGAGGGGGTAAAAAACAAACAAACAAACAAACAACAAAACCACAACACACAAGGAAACACCGGGTCAGAGAGTCGGGGGGGGTGGTTTCTTCGTGGGGTTGCAGTCATTTGGCATTTTGCTCCAGAGCAGAGTACTCTGCTTCCGACACCCTGGAAGCCTCGATGAGTTTAGTGAGGCCTGTTTTGGCAGAGTACTTGAAAATAAAGGCTTTCATGAGCTCGTATCGGTAGTTGCGGTTGATGAAGCTGTACAGGATGGGGTTGACGCAGCAATGGACCAGGGAGAAACACTGAGTGATGTGGAGAGTGGCGTACAGGAAGTTCTCCATGTGGCAGCTGAAGGGGATGAAGTGAAGGCTGTAGAAGATGTCAAGCAGGACGGCCACGTGGTAGGGCAGCCAGCAGACGAGGAACACCACCACGTAGGAGAAGATGATCTTCCCGTTGCTCTTCCGCTCCTGGTCGCTGGAGGCGGAGATGGTCTTGGCGAGGAGGAAATAGAAGACAGCGATGATGGGGAAGGGGATAAGGAAGCCCAGCACGACGGAGATGAGCTCCATGCCGATCAGCCACTCCTTGAAGCTCTCCTCCGGGTAGACGGGACGGCAGTAGGTCTCGTTGCTGGAAGAGACCGTCTTGAGGTAATAGGTGTCTGGGAGAGAGGCGGAGAAGGCCAGGAGCCACACCAGGATGCAGATGCAGCGACGGATTACCTTCTTCTTGCGATTGCTGGAGTTGGTGAAATAGGCCACGGACAGGTAGCGGTCCACGCTCATGCAAGCCAGGAAGAAGATGCTGCTGTACAAGTTGATGGAAAATATAAGGTGAGTTATCTTGCACGTGATCTCCCCCATGTGCCACTGGTTGTGCTGGACGAGGGAGACGACCCACACGGGCAGGGTGATGACGACGCACAGGTCGGCGATGGCCAAGTTGAAGATGTACAGGTGGGTTTCATAGCCAGTCATCTTGGCTTGGAGGTTGACCCACACCACGACCGAGTTGGCCACCAGCCCTATGACGAAGATGAAGATGTAGAAGAAGGACAAGGTGTAGAGCAGGGCGCTCTTGTTGAGCGTGCCGGGGCATGTCGTGGCGTCCACCGTGATGCAGTCGCCGTTGCTGCACGTCCAGTTGATCTCCGTCAGGTTGGCTGTTTCCAGGAAGTCGAGGATGGACGTCAAATCCAGCGCGCTCATGTTCGCTCGGTTCGGAGTTCGAGTGACCTACGGGCCAAACAGGATGGAAAGAAATTACACGAGTTAACAGGTACTTCTGCTGCCGTTTTGTACCGCAAAGCACGCGCAGGACACACCATTTCAGTCACATCCTACTCTTGTCCACTAAAAGAAGAGCTCCGTGGAGCAAAACAACCCAGACACTTTGCAAAACTCAGCCGGGTCCACCACAGAGAAACAGTGCCTTTTTTTTTTTTTTTTTTTTTGGTGTCTTTCTTTTTTTTTCCCCTTTTCTTGCAGCTCACGTTCTGACATCACCAGGTTGGCCATCATCCCCGGGTGTGAAATCCGCAAAGTACACCGTGGCCAAATAAATGTCAGGCGACTAAATCTGTCTTTCCCAGCATAAATGATGATACTATCGCTTTCAGCAGGGGAATCTTTAAGCCACTTTATCTGCACTCCCTCAAGCGTAGTAGAATTGATCTGGCTGATACACGGTACCGTAAAACATTTACCACAGGCTCTGGGCAGCATCTTGTCAAGCCCTGCTCCAGCTGCACTAAGAAGAAATGGGAAACTAAGGGCTTTGTATCTCTATCCAATTTTAAATTTAAATTCTGCTCCATCCTCCCCCCTTCTCTTGAGTTCTGTTTTACAAAGTGTCCCCTGCATTTAATGATTATTACACAGCTTTGAGAAAAGAAAAAAAAAAAAATCAGAGCTTGACTGCTGAGTAGGTCTGCTGGGCTTAAGTTTTCTTTTTAGAAGAGTGCTCTGGTTTAAAAACACTCCCCCATCACAGTTGGCTCCACAACTGCCTCTTCCCCACCCTTTTGCTTTTCTGCATCTCCTTTCCTTGCCTGTTTTGCGCTTTCTTCTACCTGCAGTGGAAAGCAAGGGGTCCCTTTTTAACTTCCTCACCAGCAGAAGGAAGGGACCCCAGCAGGCCCTCATGGCTTAGGCAAAAATCTAAAGCAGGGCTCCTAATTGCTGCTGTGCTTTTTGGGGCAGCTTAAAAATGCTGCCCCTGCTACTGGGACCCTCCCACCTCACAGGGCCCACAGTTACCACCCCCAGCAACAGCCAGCTGCCTTGGCTTGTGACCACCATGCTCCAGTCAAGCAAGCTTTGGAGCGCCCTGTCTGCAGGCCCTGGCTTGGGACACACCAAAGTGAAGATGGAGAGATGGGTTTAACAAGGGATGGATCCCACCTTGATCCCTCGTGGCTTCACTTGAGGTGGAGTACCCACAGTCTCCACCACGGACTCTTCCAGCATCCTGAACAATGGTCACCTTGCTCTTCCCTATGCCCACAGCCCCAGCAAGGTGAGGTACCCACTGGTGCTGCCCCAGCATGACCGAGTGGCCAGAGAGCAACAGGGACCTCCAAACATCCTTGATCCCACTACAGCACCTCCTGGTGGGGCCTACGGGAGCATAGAGGGGAGGGCGAGCAGGGAAGAGCTCGGACAGGCTCCCTCTTCTTGTCCCCTCTCCCAGAAAAAGGCATTTGGTTGACACAGCACCTCTCGCTCCTGCATCTGCATAATTGGCTCTTCCCAAAGGTCCCGCCCTCCTGGCCTGCCAGGGATACAGGCTAGGAAGAGAAGGGAGATAAGGGAGGAGATTACAGGGAGGACTCAAGGCACTATTGTCCCAACAGTGGCACTAACAATGAGGGGGGCCGTGCACACAGTCAGGGGAGATCAAATCTCTCCACAAACAGGCCCAAATCGGCCCCACGAGGAGATCTATCCCAAGGTTTTCACCCTGCTGGCCTGATGAAAGGCAGAGCTGAGATTCAAACCAAATTAAGCACGGACTTTGCAAAACGCTGGCTAAACAGGGAGCTGCGACAGTGGCAGCTTTCTGTCCTGGGACAGACCATCCTCCAGGGCTGATCCTCCACCCCAAGAGACACAGGCCCCCCTCAAGCTGCCTGTACCATCCAGTTGCTGCAGGCAGCTGGGATGTGCTCTGCCCAGGCACAGCTCCCCTGGATACTTGCTTCATCCAAGGACTCCCAGTGGGAAAGAGAGATGGGTCTCCTGCCAGACCTCACCCGCTACCACTGTGTCCCCAGCACAAATCCTTTCCAAGCCTCTCATACACAGGGAGAAGCAGCACCATCTCCAAGTCCCTGTATCTCAAAACCCTGCAGCAACCAAAGGAAACTCCTTAAACCCCAGAAAACTCCAAGTCCCGTGGCACAGATCACCAGTTCCTGCTGGTATTTGGGAGCAGCAAAGCAAGCAGAGCAGGAGAAACACCCAGCTGCCCCCATAACACCCCACAGAAGCAGCACAGATGGGCCTGAATTTATTCTGGGAAGGCACATGGTCCAACAAGGGCAGCAGGCTCATTCCACATCTCAGAACCACAGCTCAAACCAACCTCCAGGACAGGGCCGTGACCTGCCACTGCCAAGCCTCCAGCACACCCCTCACGGAGAAAAAACTCAGACTTGGCTGTGGGGTGTCAGATTCTGACAGAGAGGCACCAACAGGGCAGCAGAAAGCCCCTGCAGCCCGGGCTCACATCACGGCCACCAGCGAAGGAGAGGGGCACCACCAGCCCAGCTGCTCGCTCAGAGCCACACCGGGGATCTCCCCAAACGCAAACGATGCTCAGCCCAAACCCCAGCCTGTCTCCCGTCCAAGAGCGGGGCCGCTGCACGCACGTGCATCCATCTATCCGTGCATCCATCTGTCCGGGGCCGGCCGCCCTTCGCGTCCCCAGCGCGGCCATAAAAACCCGACACCGCCCGGCCTCCCAGGCTCCGAGCCCTGCTGGGGAGGACGGCTCTGCCCTGAGATTACAACCCTACCAGCAGCGCTGTAGTCTGGGATTAGCTGCTGTAACCCGAGCTCCGACTCCCACCCAGATTAGCCTGGAGGTGTAGGGGGGAACCCACTAGACAAACTCAATAAAGCCACTCTGTGCTCCTAAAAAAAAATACCTTCAGCGCTCTCTACAGACAGCACAGTATCCGAAAAGCTGGTGAAGGCAGCTGGGGCTGCATTTTCTGTCCGCGGCGCTGCAAAGCTCTCGCAGGCCATCAGCCCCTCACCCGGCAGTGCTCTGTCCAGCCACTGGAGCTGGCAGGAGTTACGACATAAAGGAAAGGGGACACACATAAAATCCTGCTCCAGACACCCAGAGCTGTCCCTGGGGCTGCAGCCCGCAGGACTGCAACCCTCCTCATCCCACCTCCTGCCAGGACTTGCTGCAGGCTGGGAAAAAGAAACAGGCACAAGCATCCCTGCCCAGGAGGGCAGCCCAGCGTTGCGTGGCAGTGTCCAAGCCCTCAACTTCTCAGCACCCCATCTGCCACCCAGAGCATCCTACAGCCCGGTCCTGTCCGCACTCAGAGCTGCCTCCCAGCTGCCCAGGGGTGTGGGCAAACTTGGCTTTGCTCTTCCTGCGTGGAGAAGGAAATGAGCTATGCCAGGAACAGTCAGGATGGCCGGGCGGGTTGTCACCCACACACCTTCACCGTTCCCACGTCAAAGGACCAGCCTGGCTCTCCAGCATGGGCAGCACAGCCCCTTCCTTCTCCACGCTGTGTGGCCTCCACAAAAGGACACCCAATACCCTCCAGGGGCTACGCGAGACTGAGCCCAGCACATTTAAACTCTCCTGCAGTACCGAGTCGGAAAAACAAACACGAGCGGCGGGGGAAAGCAGCGTCCGACGGAGCTGTGGGTCACACCCGGAGGGAACCCGGAGGGAACCCAGAGGGAACCCAGAGGGGAGCGGAGCTCCTGCCGGTCCCCTGCCACGGAGAAACCAGGTGGGGAGCGAGGAGGCTCCCCCCACCCAGTGCGACCCAGGGTGGGGACGGGACACGACACAGCCGGGGAGGCTGCGGGAGCTCGGACCGGCGGAGCGCGGATGCGGCGGCCACGGGCCGGGCTGGGGAGCGGGACACGCGTGGGGCGAGACCCCCCCCCCCTTCCCTCCCGCAACCTCTCGCAGCCCGTGCGGGGCTCGGCAGGGCTGCCCCTCTTACCTCCCGTGCCGGGGGAAGCGCTGGCGGAGCGACTGAGCGCGAAGCCCGCGCCGCCCCTTTATGGCCGCGCCGAGGGGCCCGCCCCGGGGGCGGCTCCGCCCGGCACGGCACGGCACGGCACGGCCCCGGATCGGGGAACACCCGCGCCCGGCTCGGCTGGGCAAGGGCTCCCTACGGACCCGGCTCTGGCTCGGTACGGACCCGGCCCCGAGCGTGCGGGGGGCTCCGGAACCGGAGCGAGGGATGCAGACAGCAGGGGTGACACGGGACTGGAGATGGGGGAAAGGGAGAGCGAGGAAAAAAAAAAGAGACAGAAGCTAGGAAAAGAAAAGGAAAGAAAGAAAGAAAAGGAAGGTAAAGGAGAGGAAAGGAGAGGAAGAGGGAGGAAGGAGTGGAAAAATACTGAGGAAAAAGGGGAGGGGAAGGGGAAAAGAATATAGACGAGAGGAGGGCAAAAAAAGGGGAGAAGAGGGAGAAGGGGAGAAGAGGGAGAAGGGGAGCAAAAAAAAAAAAGAAGGGGAGAAAAAAAAAGAAGGGGATTAAAAAAAGAAGGAAAAAAAAAAAGAAGGGTAAGGAAAAAAAGAAGGGGAGAAAAAAAAAGAAGGGTGAGGAAAAAAAGAAGGGGAGAAAAAAAAGGAGAGAAAAAAAAGAAGGGAAGAAAAAAAAGAAGGAAAGAAAAAAAAGAAGGAAAGAAAAAAAAGAAGGAAAGAAAAAAAAGAAGGGGAGAAAAAAAGAGGAGAAAAAAAGAAGGAGAAAAAGAAGGGGAGAAAAAAAGAAGGGAGAAAGAAAGGGAGAAAAAAAGAAGGAGAAAAAAAGAAGGAGGAAAAAGAAGGGAGAAAAAAAAAAGAAGGGGAGAAAAAAAAGAAGGGGAGAAAAAAAAGAAGGGGAGAAAAAAAAAGAAGGGGAGAAAAAAAAAAGAAGGGGAGAAAAAAAAGAAGGGGAAAAAAAAAGAAGGGGAGAAAAAAAAGAAGGGGAGAAAAAAAAAGAAGGGAAGAAAAAAAAGAAGGGAAGAAAAAAGAAGGGGAGAAAAAAGAAGGGGAGAAAAAGAGGAGAGAAAAAAAAAAGGAGGGAGAAAGAAAAAGAAGGGGAGAAAAAAAGAAGGGGAGAAAGAAGGAGAAAAAAAGAAGGAGAAAAAGAAGGGGAGAAAAAGAAGGGGAGAAAAAATAAAGAAGGGGAGAAAAAACTAAAGAAGGGGAGAAAAAAAAGAAGGGGAGAAAAAAAAAGAAGGGGAGAAAAAATAAAGAAGGGGAGAAAAAACTAAAGAAGGGGAGAGAAAAAAAAAAGGGGAGAAAAAAAAAGAAGGGGAGAAAATAAAGAAGGGGAGAAAAATAAAGAAGGGGAGAAAAAAAAAGGGGAGAAAAAAAAAAAGAAGGGGAGAAAAAAAAAGAAGGGGAGCGGAGGGGAAGGAAAAAATGCCAGAATTAAAAAGGGTGAAGGGGGAAGATGAATTAAGAGAGAAAGGGAGAAAAGAAGGAGGAAAAGAAAATAGAGGAAAGGGTGAGAGGAAAAAAAAGGTGAAAAAGCTGAGAAAAAGTGAAGGATAGAGTGGAGAGAAAATATATGAGAGGAAAAAAAAAAGGAAAAGAAAAAAGAAAAGCAGGTCTCTGGTTTGATTTGTTTTCCCCTTGCCACTGTAAATGCTGAGCAGACCAGGCAAGGGGAGGCAGCAGATCCTCACCTCTGCTCCCTCCCCAAGGGCAAGAAAAACTAATGCCAAGGAAAAGTGACAAGATGCCAGAGAGTCACTGACTAAAACTGAAAATCCCTTCCTTCACAACTGCTGCTGAGCACAGGGCAGGCAGGGGGGTAATATGGCCCGTGGGGAGGAAGGGTTTGGTCTGTCTGTCTGTCCGTCCTTCATTCCAGGGAAGATGCTGGGATTAGAGGATTATCGACCTGCTGATCCCTGGATCTGCACGTACCATCAGGCTGCTCTGAAAACACCAGGTGACCTGGAGCAGGATCACCCTGCCCAAACCAACATGTACAGTTCCCAGAGCCTAAATCACCTTGGCACTGCTGAGCCACTGCTCAGCTGGGGGATACAGCTTAGCTAACACATTTCAGCCACTGGTTTTTGGAAGATAGGGGTCTAAATTTTAGCCCTTGCAACCTGAGGGCTTCAGCACCCCCAGAATACATGCATTTTGTTTCCCCAAAAATGCTTAATCTTATTTCCTCAGGCAGCAAACAGGACAAGGGGAATGGCTTCAAACTGAAAGACAGTAGGTTTAAAATAGATATTAGAAAATAATCCTTCCCTGTGAGGGTGGGGAGGCCCTGGCACAGGTTGCCCAGAGAAGCTGTGGCTGCCCTTGGATCTCTGGAAGTGTCCAAGGCCAGGTTGGACAGGGCTTGGAGCAACCTGGGCCAGTGGAAGGTGTCCCTGCCCATGGCAGGGGTTGGAACTAGATGATCTTTGAGGTCCCTTCCAACCCAAACCATTCTATGATTATATGATTAAACCTACTGACAAATGCATGCTTAAAAAGAGAACGTGTTTTCCCACAAAAATGTCCAGCACAAGCTTTCAGTCTTAAACCGAGTCAGGAATGCAGCAAAACAAGACATTTTACTCTGTGGTGGAAGAGACCCATGTAAAAAAAGTGAGGGTGCAGGTTAAAAGGACTCACAGCTGCAAGCAGAGCAGTCTTAATTCTGGGGAAAAAAAAAAAGACATTGATATTTTAAACATACTCTGTTTCTCAGCTCACAATTCCTTAATTCTGCCCCCATCAAGGAACGGAACCAAATACGTCACACTTACACACTTGCAGAAGTGACAGCACAATCAGCTTCAGCTTTTCTGCCAGGAAAGAGAAGATCAGGGTGTAGATGTTGCACTCCTGCAGCTCCAAGCATGCCTGGAAGCTTTGCCTGGTGCTCCTCCCAGCTCAGTCCCACACATCCACAGAGACCTCCGGCAGCTCCCAGCTGACCCCGCACTGGGGTGTCCCGGGGAGAACGTGGCACAGGGACATGCTGAGGAAAGACCTGACCTGGTGGGCCTTTGGTGGTGCCTCTGTCCCCACCAAGATCTGGACTGCCACAGGCTCCAAGTGCCACCCTGCAGGCACAGCCACAGAAGCCACCAGGACCATCCCATCCTCCGGCGCACGCACTGCCGCGGGTTTGGGTGCCAGGGAAGGAGAAGAACAGAGGGACAAGTCTCCCACCTTTTCACCATGGAGGGAGTGTGATGTAACGTACCTCATCTCCCTTCCTGACCCCCACTCTCCCCTAGATGAGGTCCTCCAAACTTCACAGCTGTCAGCGAGCAAAGCGTTTCTCACAGCATCTGCTCGAATTCCGAGTGCTCGCCCAAGTCCGTGGATTTGGTGGGATTGAAGCACGATGAGTTCACACAACGACAGGATTAGGTTTAAAAATAAGCATGCACTGAAGCACTTGGCTAAATCAGGCTCTGAAAATCCTAGGGAAAAAAAAAAAAAAAAAATTAAAGGCACTCCAGCAGAACTCCAGCCACTCAGCCAAAAAAGCAAGTGGAGTGGTTTTTCCTTAGCTGGTGTGCCAGAAAATAACACCAAGAAGTCCAGTGTCTTCCACAGCTCTCCAAAAATACCAGCACCTGCAACCACAAAGCTGCTGGGTGTCCAGGAGTCACTGGCAACCTTCCTTCACCTGCATTTTGCCAGGAGCAGAGCCCTCACTGTCCTCTCTGGGTTTCTCTGTATCTGTATGATACAAAACCACAACAGAGCAAGCAGAGCTGGGCACCCCAGGATAAGATCAGCAGAGGGTCTTACCGTGATTAATTGGGATCTGCTGCCAACCCAAGCAGGTGTCCCCAAAGATGTGATCTCAGATAGTCCTGTAGCCAACAACTCTTGTAGGTGCAGCTGTCCAGGTGATCCATCGCTCACTGGAATAGGAGAGCTGGGGGTGTTCAGCCTAGAGAAGAGAAGGTGCCAGGGAGACCTTAGAGTCCTTTCCAGTGCTTAAAGGACCTGGAGTGCTAGGACAAGGGGGAATAGCTTCAAACTGCCAGAGGGCAGGGTTAGATGGGATATTGGAAAGGAATTTTTTCCTGTGAGGGTGGGCAGGCCCTGGCACAGGTTGCCCAGAGGAGCTGTGGCTGCCCCTGGATCCCTGGAAGTGTCCAAGGCCAGGCTGGATGGGGCTTGGAGCAACCTGGGCTGGTGGAAGGTGTCCCTGCCCATGGCAGGGCATGGAACAAGATGGTCTGTAAGGTTCCTTCCAACCCCACCCTTTTTATGATTCAGGAAATGGGGAAAGCAAAGCTCTGCAGCTTCCACCTGCTACACAGGAGTCTGTGGCAACAGGACAGGGAGGGACTGATGACCTTCACAGGGCAGCAGTGAACCTAATTATGTTCACAAACCTCATTAGGTTTGTCCTGGAGTCCTTCCACGGCAAGCTTCAGCTTTCCCCAGACTATGGGGGGCCCTGTATAAGGTGAAAGCTCCACTGTGGTCAGCACTGCAGATAAACACACCTAAGAACGAGCTCTGACCCTCAGAGATAGGTAGGTACATCAGGACAGGAGGCCCTGACTGCTGGGCAAAACACAGCACTGAAAGCCAGATCATTATTTAATGCTTTGTTTTGCATTCATGTTTTGTTTAGCAGCCTGAACTACAGCAATATATTATTTTATTCTCCAAAAGCATAAATATTTACTAATGGGATGGGGGGAGAGGAAAAAAAAAAATCAGTAATTTCTCACAATCTCCACAGCTTCTCCCTACAGACTTTGGGTATGCAGGCTGAAAGCATCCTCATTTTCTCTTAAGGCTTCCCTTTCCAGCTGGGAGGCAGATGGAAGTTGACACCCAGCCCTGCCTACTCAAGTCAACAGAGAATTAAAAAAAAAAAAAAAAAAAGCAAGCTGGCAGCTTCAAGTGCTAGAAAGACGTGGTTTTGGGGGGGGCGGGAGTGAGAAAGCCAGTAAAGAAAAGTGTGATATGTGTTGGGTGGGGGAGCTTTTTGACTGCACGGTAAATATCCAAACGGGACAAAGGGAAGGGTTTTCCCATCGCATGGGAAGGGGTTTGCGTGCAGCAGGAGCTCCAGCCAGGAGCGCAAACACCCACAGCGCCTGACAGAGCCGGGGAGAGCCCTGGAGGAAATCAGGCCGTGATCCATGAAGTGTGCAAAGGTAAAAAAAAAAAAAGAGCTTCCTGCAGTCCTCGGAGCCAGTGCCAGCGGGCTGATGCACGAAAACGCAGCGCTGCTTCCTCCCTCTTCCGAGACATCTCGTCCTCTGTCCTCCCCTGGTCACGTTCCTCGCCGCATCGGCTGGAAGATGGATGGAGGAACAAGCCACCCCGCTAACAAAAGGAATAAACAGATGACTGCATCAGGAGTCACCTCTGAAACCGCAGCAGAAGGGAAACGAGCAGTGAGTTTCGAGCAGGCAGCGGCTGCGGTGCTGCCCAGCTCCACTTCCCCTGCCAGCAGAGAACAATCGAGTCATTTAGCGCCAAACCGTGCCCAGAGCAGTGTCAGCAGCCAGCAGGAAAGCCACGGGGCTGGTGTCCCGTCCAGAGATGCACGACGAGGAAACCAAGGGAAGAGGGCAGGGAGAAGCAGCCTCCCCATCGCTGCACTTGAAGGAAGGGACCTGTGCTCGTAGGCAGCTTCTCCAGTGTCCTCCTCTGAGCAAGGATGGAGCGAGCCAGAGGTTCCCTAGACTGAAGGAAAGGGGTGGGAAATACAGCGCTGGGGAAACTGAGGCAGAAAGGAGCGGACCTCTTAAAAGTGGAGCACAAAAAGGAGGAGAGAAGTGCAGGGAGAGGCTGCCGGGGCAACCACAACGCATCCTAGGGCAAGGCTCCTGCTTCCCCTAGCCCAGCCTAAATCACTAACCCAAACAATCAAAGAGAAATCACAGCACAGGACTTCCCCACCCCCCCTCCGTACCACCCACCTGATCGTTTAAAGGTTCACGAGATGCGATATTTTCCCTGCAGGAAGCCCCTCAGGGGGGCTGGTTTCCATCCACGCTGCAGCTCCAAAGCTGTGTTTTCGCCTCCTCCGCCGCAACAACGAGGACCAAAGCGAAGGGTGAAGATTTTAGGGCTCCAGCATCTGCGGTTTGAGGCAGCACACGCTGAAAGCCCTGCCGGGAGGGATCCTGTGTGTTCCAGCACTGCCCAGCCCCGGGGCCGTCAGCACTTGCCTGCTGACAAGTGACGGTGAACAGCCCTGACTCAGGGAGACAACACCAAGCACACGGAGCTTCGCTTCACGTGGCCTCCGACGGCTGGGCCACCCAGGATTGTAACCAGTCTCTGGCTTTTTCCACCCAAAAATCAGAATCACAGGACTGCTGAGGTTGGAAAAGACCTCCGAGGTCGTCGAGTCCAACCTGTGCCCGATTCCCAACCTTGTCACCCAGCCCAGGGCTCTGAGTGCTGTGTCTGGTCATGCCTTGGACACCTCCAGGGATGGAGGGGGGACACAACAGGAGAAGAGTTTAAGTTAAGAGTTTGTCCACCTGCATGGTAGGATATTTTCTGTCAATCCCAATAAGCTTTCCCAAAGCCAAGCAACCCAGCAGGATCCACTGAGGAAAGGGTGGCAGAGCAATCAATTTTCTATTTTCAATGTGATGAGAGCTTTTAGAAAAATCAGTTGTGGTGCAATTAGGAATATTACCTGTTTTAATAACTATTGGATATGGCTGCCTCTCCTTCACAGTTCATTTCCCTCTTACCCTTTCCACTAAGTGAAGGTGCTACCTATGGATGTTATTTGCTGCTTCCTAATTGGCATTATTGCCACTTATTGGAGGGCGTGCTGGAGTGTGACCACGAGGAGGATGAAACCAAACCCCGAGCCAGAATCCTGCCTGGAGCAGCCAAGCAGCCAGGACTTTTCAGAGGCACTGATTTTTACATAAACACCATCCATAAACTTCTCCTCTCTGCACAGCACAGTCTCAGATTAGCAGGGTGACATTAACGTGGCAAGGGGCAGGTTTTGACAGAAGCCATGCTATGGCAGGAGAGCCTGCACCGGCAACAAGTGGCACACCAGGGACAGAGAGGAAAGAAAGGAGTTGGAATTAGGGTGATTGGATCCCCCCCCACCTTCCCTTGCTTCCATGGGAAAGAGTCCTGCTAGGTGTAAAACGACTTGACTATCACAGGCTGGTAAGAAATAAAAAATTCACTAAATCATAAATCTTTTGGAAAGGGGATCTACTGGGGGGGATTATATTCACTTTTCACAGACATATTAATTCAGTGGCGGCATATCATGTTGTTCTCTGTGGGGGGAAAAAAGGCATATTGTTTTAAAAGTATGATGTTTAGAGCAGTCCTTTAGGAAGGAAAATAAATATAATCTTGGCAAGGAAAACCAACTGAATGAGCACCGAGGAAGGCACATTAAACACAGGGCCCAAGTTCCAGCTGCTGAAAGGCAGCAATAGCTGGACTGGAGTTCCTGGAGCTAAGCCCAAGCATGGGAGCTGAGAATGACAGTCACCCCCTCACTTAGCAGCAGCTCCTTGAAAATGTTCAGTGAATAAAATCAAAGTGTGGGACTGCTCTCATGGCCCCCTTCCACACATACTGCTCCCACTCCATCTCTGGCTTCCCACCTCTCTCCTGACCCCACAAATGCTGTGTTCCTTTGAAACAGGCACATACCTCCTCCCTTTCTCCCCCTGTGACAGGGTGGTCGGCACAGCCCCACGTAGCACGTAGGTTTGGACTCCTCTAGCTTGGCTCCAGGCGTGGAGGGCACCAAGATGAGACTCCTGTCCATCACACACATCCTCCAGACACTCACCCAAAGCACAAGTCCCTGGTGAGCCCTGCTGTCTCCTGGAACACATCTTCCCTCAGGAGGAACCTGTGGATCAGGACAAAAACTCTCAGAACAGCTACAGGAAGGGGTTCAGCAAACACACAGCTTACTGTACAGTAACTGCTCATGCCCTTGTCCTTCCTCTGTGGTAAATCACAATCCAATCCATTTTATTCCAGAGGAACAAGGGGAAAAATCAGTTTAAGGTTTCTGCACAAGGTAACAGTGACCGCTGACCAGCTCCTGGGTGCTAAAACAATCCACGCCCCTTTGACCACATCACCCTCTCAGCCAGCTCAGGCACAGATAACCCACTTGGCCCATCAGAAAAGATGGGATTTGCTTATCACACCAACTGCATGGGCCCCGTGCAAACTCCTGTGGACTTCCTGCTTCCCTCCTTCCCTCTGCCCAGCAGCTATCTTGCTGACAGCTTCCCTGTCCGTCCCAACCCCAACCAGGTGTGAAATTTGGGGCATCACAAAACTGCACACACACACACAGGGCTGTTCCCGGGGGAATTAAATCTCTAGATAAAAGGGAAAAGGGCTCACGAAACATTAACCACGAACAGCCCGAACAACAAAGTCGGCACACGCACCCCACAGACTCTTCCTGCAGCACTAACTCAGTTGGGTCTCAGATGTGTATTTGTCATGTGTATCCAATACCTGCTGGAGATAAAAAAAAAACACCAATAAGGCTGTATTTTTTTTCCATACCTGGGCCAAGTTCCCAGCTGAAACAAGCCATTTATACCAGTCAAACACTTGGACACCTAATTTCTCTGGAAACCCTTGTTTGCTCAAGGCACCCTGTCAGCAGCTCATAGCTCAATGCTGTAGGAAGGCAGAGAGGCCTTAAACTACTCATATTATCCAATGTGAGCAGAAAAAGGAGGCACTCTGAGCTTCAGCTTCTGCCCAGGGCCTCTGAAAAGCTAATCCTATCTGATTACACCACTTCTTTTCTTTTTTTTTTTTTCCATAGAAGAAATAAACAGTCTATTGTACCAAACATAAGGCTGCCTTCTTTTGAAGGAAGATTTATCATCCAGGATAAAATCCATGAGTTCATTCCATTTTAGCCCCAAGTCCTCAAAGCTTGTGTTT